CTCTTGGAAAAGCTTCTGGGTAGAGAAAAAAGGTGGAGGTCCATTTCAGTCGGTAGGCATGCTTGCTTTCTAGAATGGATAACGTGAGATCAGGCCACATGATTCTTTTCCCCCATCTGCATTTCAACAGGTGGAACAGTTGTGATGTTGGTTTTGACTCAAGACTTCTGTCTCCGATTGTGGCCTCAGAAGGTCTGTTGTGGGGATGACATGGCTGTTTCCTATTCATGCCAACTGATGTCATGCTCTCGTGTGAAAATCCAAGAACTTGTAGTCCGGCATTGCGACTCCCTTTAATTCTGCAATATGGCTCAGTCATTCGTGTGTTAATCTAAACTGATGTGTTTTTCTGTGTTACATTTGCTCACTCTAAAAAATAAGAGCAGGAAATGTACAAAGAAGCAAGAAAAAGTTATTGACAATTCCACCACATAGAGGCAAAATGACATCTCATTATTGTTTTGAGTCTTTTTTATTGCTAGTGATGGTCTGCCTATTTTCATATGCGTGGTGTTTATTTCTTTGGTTCTCTGAATTGTCTGTTCATGTTTTTTGTTTATTTGCGTTCTTTGGGCCCTTATTATCTTCTCCCCTTGTAATTGCTGTGAAATTTTTTGGGGGGGGGGGAGGTTGCTGTTTCAATTTTATTTTCGTGATCAGAAGTTTGCAAATATTATTCAACTATTGGAGATTCTTCGATATCCGGAGTTTGCATGAATATTCCCTCACATTTTTATGTTGCTTTCCTTTTATTTTGAGTTCTGCACTCAGCCAGTTTGTTTATTTAAAATGTTCTTTTTGGGGGCGCCTGACTGGCTCATTCGGAGGAGCGTTCTAGTCTTGATCTTGGGGTCGTGAGTTCGAGCCCCACGTTGGGTGTAGAATTACTTAAATAAGTAAATAAACTTAAAAAAATAAAATAAAATTTACTTTTAGTTTGTTCGTAGGGGGGACTGTCACTGTTTCACCCGACAAAGAGTGACTCAGCCCTAACATCATTTATTGTGGAAACTTCTCGGCATAAATTCTCCAAGATCGGATCTGTTTCTAGCATCTTACTTCTGTTTCACATGTCCATCATCTGGTTCTTGATTAGATTGCTATTCACTTGACATTTGACTTCAACATCATGGATGTTTCCAGGTTTCCTTACAACCCTTTTCCCCTCAACCGTTTTGTTATTTATTCTCGCCTGTTTATTCTTTCCGGTCAGTGTTGGGATTATTTGTCAAGTGGTAAAGTTAGTTCTATAGAAATCTTTGAAAAAGTAACATTTGTAGTATTTCTAACTTATGAAAGTAACACATGTTTGTATAGCACATTGGAGGTTACGGTTAAATGTCAAGGAATAGGCATGTTAAAAAAGAGCATTCAAGCAAAGGAAATTGGAAGGAGGGTGGGCAAAGAGTCATTAGCCAAAAGAAGGATTGTTTCAGACAAGGCCACCTTCCCTTAGTGGGGATGGCTGGGGGTCTTTTTCGGTGGGTTTACCTCACTTTACTCTGTGGGGGATGGAGAAGGGCTCCTGTGACCAATGACCTCATCAGAGCCAACCAGAAAATTCCTGACTGACTAGTGAAGACAACATTTCTGGGGGAGGCGGAAACTGCAGTTAGGTTAGGTGTTCGGCCCCAGTTTGGTGACTTGGCTTAGCATTAGTGACGTCATCATGCCTGTGGCTTTGTTTAGTAGACAAAAGCCAAGACATATGTCTCTGCTCAGACCCTCCTGGAGAAACGGTTTTGTTTTTCGGAGGCTAAGACAAAGGTCGTTGGAGTCAGGTAGATCTGGGTTTGAAGTCCAGCTCTGCCTACTACTCACTTGCCTCTGGCCTCAGTTTACTCATCAGTACAATGGGTATACCTACATTCCTGGCTTACCGTGAAAAGTAATGGGATAATGCGTACACTGGAAGGTTCTTGGCCCAACGCACGGCTGCAGAAGCTGGGCTCACACACATGTGTGTGTTTGCGGGATGGGGGGGGGGTCACCTTTTGTTACTCATCCTGCATTGCCCTCTCGGAGCAGAGGGCCAGCCCAGCGCTTCTCAGGTGATGGCCAAGGGCACGAGAACCCCCGGAGGCTCATGCTTGGACCCGCAAAAGCCCCTTACCTTGTTCTGAAAGTCAAAGCCGATCCTGTGGCCGCGCCCAGATCCCGTGGGTGGGGAGATAGACTTGGCCTCTTCAGCGAGAAAAACCTCCTGGAAGAAGTCACTTGGCAAAGGAGCAGCGCACACAGAGGGGTGAAGGGTTAATGCCTTTTGCCACACAACATAAGCAGAATCTGCTGAAGCCTCTGGCGGTTCGGGGAGGGAGAAGGCGTTTTCGGATTGAGTAAGATAAGCAGCATCAGGTTAACACTAAGCTGAGGCTGGGGGGTGGGGTGGGGGCTGGTGTGTCCGATTGGAGTCCCATGGTGGAGGGCCTGCCCTTGGGGACGGCTTTCTGTGTGGAGGTACCATAGCACCAAGGACGGAAGGGTGGCCCAGATGCAGGAATGAACACAAGTGTTTTCGTGGTCAGTGTCTCTGAAAAGGCAGGCTGGACTGGCCAGTTTGACCAGAGCAAGGCAAGGAAAGGAAAGGAAAAGTCATCCGTTGGGTAATATGTTTCTCACTGCCTCGCTGAAGTTCTAGAAGACAACCTTTGGTCCCAGATTGGAGCTCCGGGAGGGGCTAGAGTGGGAGAGTGAGGCTTCGGCTGAGTGCAGAGCCTTTTAGGGCCCTTCCGTTTCTCTGAAGGATCAGATTGCCCACATTTTGGATCTGCTGGGCCTTGGGACACGGCTATTTATTATTTCCAGTTGGGATCATTTCCTAATGCGTTTTGGCCTCCTGTGGCCATTGTGGGGGGGGGGGTCCCCGTTCATCGCACTCCCCTTCGGAAGGTTATGGGATAAATACCACGTGTGAATAACTTAGGCAGCATTTCTTGTGCCTTAAGTGCACTGAGGTTTTCTTAGCTCTGGCCTGAAACTGTCTGCATTAATTTACCCTTAATTGCTTTTAGAAATTCTGTTCCTGAGCCATTGCTTAATAAAACTCCAGGGTTTTTCTTTTCTTTTTCTGTTCTCGTCAGTTGGCTACAACAAGATTAGCTTCCTCATGCCCGGAGAGATCCATCTGTTGAGCGGAGAGTCTGAAGGATGCCCCTCCCCACCCTTCCCTTCCTCCCCCACCATCATCCTCTCCACCCTCCCCCCACCCCCTATGTGTGGCTCCTCCCTTCCCTTCTAGAAAAAGCATGCTGCACAAAGCAGGGACCCGTGGTCAGAGTTGAGGGTTAAAGAAGATGAATCAACCCTTTTCACTTACGAAACAAAACAAAACCTTCCAAAGATAAAGAGACACAGGTAGGGGGTGCCCATGTCATGACCTCCTGCCACACCTTGAAACTGTCATATCTGCCACCTGGCCAAGGACGCTGAGTCTCAGACCTTGTCCTTGGAAAAGCAACTCTTCAGGACTCGGAGAAAGAGACGTCCCAGGAAGCCTGGGAGATTCCATGGTACCTGTAGGTAATCAGCTCAAGAATCAAAAATGGCTTCGGGAATATTCCAACAGAAATGTTTGTAGGAACCAGGCTGGCAGGGGAGGCCTAGAGCTTTGTTGATCCTTTGGTGCTTGAAAACAGGGTGTGGGCGGGGCACTGGCCTGTCACTGACAACTGTGCCCTCTGGCCATGTGCCCTGGGTTCTACCCTTCCTCTGTGCTTCTGTGGGAAGCCCACAAAAGGTGTGAATTCTCGTCCAGGGAAAAAAAAAAATTCCTACGCCCACCACATCTCGCATTCAATTTGGGAGGCTTTTCCTGGGGGGCTCTGTGGACCCCAGGATGGGACCCCGTCTCAGGCACAGAGCAGGCTGCATCTCGATTCATGAAAATCGCCCCAGTGTGACTGATCTGCGGGATGCACAGGAACTCAGATGCTGAAGTAGGCAGTTCGTCCCAGAGCCTGGCTGCGTAGGAACCGAGCTAATGAGGTGTGGAGCTCCTTCCTGGATGAAGTGCCGAGCTCAACTTGAGGAAATTAAACCACTCAGCAAAGTGTGCCTTCTCCCTGGTAATGAGCGGTCCAGTAGAGGGGCCTCGTGCATCCCGGTGGCTCGGCCCCCTGTCTTGTTTTGCAAGGTTTGCTGTTGCTAAAAATGATAGCGCTCTTTCCGTGGATTATAGGAGAGGCTCGATGAGGAGGGGAGAAAGAGAGGGGCTGTCGGCCTGGTTAATGCACTTGACCCAAACGGGCTTTCGGAATTTGAGTTCTGATTAGTAAATCAAAGGAGACAGCAGGCAGTCGAGTTCAGGGTGGTGTCTTTTTTAAGTGTTGAGGTGCCATCACTGATGTTATAATTCGGGAGACGATAAGTGATGTCTTTGATCATAAAAAGAGCAGAGAGAAGAAATGGGGAAGGTAGGAGGGTTTTCACGGGTTCGTGCAGTAACCATTTATCTGCCGAGGACTGGGCTGGGCTCTGGGGAAACAGAGGGAGCCCAGCTGCCCCGAAGTGGGAGAGAAGAGAGTGAAGGGCATCAGGATGGCAATTTGCAGAGGGGGAGAACGCAACAGAGGACAGGGACCTCACATCAGGCCAGGACGTGCCTGGGGTGGGGCTGGAGAGGAGGGGCGTGTTAGGTCCAAGGAAAGGCGCTTTAGGCAGAGGGGCAAGAGTGTGCATTGAGAGAGGGCATTCCTGGTTGCGGGAAGTATGACTGCTTCACGGTAGCTGGGGGAACGGGGTAGGAACTGATGTTGGAAGGATGAGCTGGGGCTGAACTGGGTGCCAAGCAAAGGAGTTTAAACCTGACTCTGAAAGCAACGGAGAAGGCGAGGAGATAGTTACAGGGGGAGGGTGTCCTGATCCCATTTGCATTTTAGGAAGGTCATGCTGGGGGCACCTAGGTGGCTCAGCGTGGGCCTCTTGATCCCCAGGTTGTAAGTTCGAGCCCCGCGTTGAGTAGAGATCACTTAAAAATATAATATTAAAAAGAAAGAACATGCTGGCAGCAGTGTGGTGGATAGAGTGAGGCTGAGCTGTAGAGGGGGCCGGCTGGAAGCAGGGCTCCAGTAAGTGGCTTTCGGTGACATCCAGGAGGGAAGCGTTGAGACGTGGAGCCAGGGCAGTGCAAATGGCGGGGGGGGGGCGGGGGGGGGAGAGGGGCGAGTGTCACAAAGAGAACCTCAAGATGGCAGAATCTTCAGGATTCGGTGACCAGCCAGACGAGGTGAATGGGTCGTGATTCTAACGTGCCTCCTGAGAAGAGAGGGCGGTCCCCTGCGATGGAGACAGGAAGGCACAGACAGAGCGGGTGTCAGGTTTAGGCGTGCTGACCTTGGGCTTGCGAGGCATCCAGGTGGCCACGTCCAGTGGGAAGCTGTTGCTTGAGCCGAGGTCCAGGCTAGTGATGCGGGTTTGGAAATTGCAGGGCGTGACAGTTGGAGCCATAGATCAGGACGAGGTCGCCTAGTTAGAGTCAGCCAAGGGCAGAGAAGGAGCCTTGAGGAATTTGGGGATTTGGAGCGGGAACAGAAAGGGCAACCCGGGAAAAAGAACAGGGGGCCGGGGCCGATCAGGTGGGAGAGAGAGCGGAGGTGTGACTCCGGGAACCCTGGGTGTGCCAGCACCCAAGAGTGAGTCACATTTATATGAGGTGAGAGGCAACAACGTTAAATCCTGCAGCAATGATGGTCGGGAGGTATCTGCTGATTCCGGCCACACGGATGTCATTGGAAACTAACAAGAGCGGTTTTAGTGCGAGAGGGTAACTTGAAGCCAAAGGATGAGAGTGGAGTGAGGAACCGATGGGAGACATGGGAGACGGAAGGAGACAAGGAGAAGAAAGACATCAATGAAAGCTGTGGGAGAGACCCACATTGTATTTAAATGGGAGAGACCTGAGCGTCTGGCTTCCTGACTCTGCTTCCTCCGGGGGAGGAGGGACAGAGGGTCCTTACTTGTGCGTGGCTTCTCTCATCCGCACCTGCAGAGGAGCCACGATGCGGAGCTTGATCGGGATGGGGGCCCAGGGTCTGCCCGGTTGCCAGGGGATGCTGACCGACGCTGATGCTACAGGCCCGTGACCACTTTTGGAAATTCCTGCCGATGGCCTTGATGGCCTTGATTTCCTCGGTGGATTAAGAGGCACGCTTCCCTGCAGGAGGGAGATGAGCCAGAGGGGAGACTGGTAAAAGCAGAGAGCAGTGGGGAGGCAGGGGAGGGTTGGAGGCTTTGACCTGCCTTCCAGAGAAGCTTCAGGGCGGGTCCTCTGAGGGCCGTGAAGACTGGGAAACCTCGGATTTGTCTTGTCATCAGCTGCAGGTGTGAGACGTTCTCTCTTTATCTGTCTCTATCATTATATCAAATATCATTATATTTACAGACGGATGGAGAGAGAGAGAGAGAGAGACAGGAGGGGAAGGGAGAGCTAAAGAGAGAACGAGAAACATTTATTTAAAGGAATTTGGCATACGTGATTGTGAAGGCTGGCCTATCCGAAAACCCGCAGGGCTCACCTGCAGCTCGGAGACCCAGGGAGGAACTCATGTTGCAGCGAGGATCCAAAGGCAGTCTGCTGTCCGAATTCCCTTTCCCCCGGGGGGACCTCAGTCTTTTTTTTTCTCTTTGAACCTTCCAACTGACGGGATGAGGCCCACCCACATTATGGAGAGTAATCTGCTTTAACCCAGGCCTACTGATCTGCATGTCAGTCTCATCGAGGAAAAAAAAAAGTACCTTCAGAAACCTCTAGAATAACGTGTGGCCAAAAGACCACGGCCTAGCCAAGTTGACCCATAACACTGAGCATTAGAAGCAGTTAGATGTGCTTTGCGATCTGACTTCATCATCTGGCCCCGCGTCCACAGTGGGCCGGGGAGAGGAGGGAGCGGTTTGTCTCCTTGCTGGACGGAAAGTGAAGTTGCCGTTGTTGATGTGGCACAGGAAGTGAGTGGAACGTTCTGAAGTTCCGTGTCCGTTGGCAGGTGTAGTGTCAACGTTCATGGCCTTTTCCGGGCTCAGGAGCATGGGCATTTTTGCAGTAGGGCTTCCAAGGAGGAGTCCCATTTCTGTTCTTGATTGCCCATAACCCATGGCTTGGCATAGCTAAGATTGGCACACGCGAGCCATGTCTTTGGTTAAGGATGTGCCTTCAGCGTTTTCGGACTCACAGAATTCAGGCAGCGGCAAAGAGGTGACCGTCTGACGCATTTGCCTTTTCCTTTCTGATTACCTCTATCTGGCAAGTGGACACCACTATTTGGAAAATGAATCCCCTTGCTAAGTGGCTGGGCCACAGCAATGCATTCTTGGGGATGGGGCCCTTTGGCCTCTCAGTTGGAGATGGCGGGATCTGCTGTGGATCAAGGAGGGTGAGCCCAGGCCAAGGAAGCGGGTGGCCATCCGGGTCCCGGGAGCTGGTGTGCTCGTTCCGGAAGCCCAGGGGATGGTAGTACACGGGTACGTTCCAGGCTTTCTCTCGTACGTAAAGCGCATTCAGAAACTGAAAGGTAGGGACGCCTGGGGGGGCTCAGTCGGTGAAGCGTCTGACTCTTGGTTTCGGCTCAGGTCATGATCTCACGGTTTGCGGGTTCGAGCCCCGCGTCGGGCTCTGCGCCGACAGCTCTGAGCCTGCTTGGGATTGTCTCCCTCTCTCTCTGCCCCTCGTCTCTCTCTTTCTGTCTCTCAGACAGAAATAAATAAACATTAAAAAAAAAAAAAAAAAGAAATAGAAAGGTAGACACTCCAGGACCCGGACCCTCCATTTTGACGTGGATCTGAGGTCGGGCAGCCATAGAGGAGGAGGCCTCACCTCCCACCACTACCCACAGCAGTGGAAGGAGTGGATGGGAAGATGTGTCTGCCCCAAGCCTGTGGCTGCTTGGGGTCAGTCGAGGTGGTGTTTCCTGACTCAAACTACCTATTCCGTTTGATTCCCCCCTCTTTCCTCCCTCTGGTTTCGCTCTGGGCTGCCGACACTGAGAGGGCATGGGCTCCATGTCCGCTGTAAAGAACCTTTATTAATTGGCCTTTCTGACCCTACGCATGTGTCTGGTGCACTTGGGAAATGAAAATGAATCACCCTGGTAGGAATTTGCAGAGCCGGCTGTGACCCTGTGGTTCCAAGCCCTGGCTCCCCACTGCTCCGTCTGTGAACAACCTTAACTAGATTCTTCTGGAAGGCCCCGGAAGGGAAACAGAAGGGACCCTCGTCAACCGTTCGGCATTTAGCGTTTACCGCACTGCATTCCAAGCTGCCTTGTTCTAAGTGTTGAACGTGTTTTAGCTGCAAAGCCCAGGACTCTTGGCTACTGACAGCAGGGTTGGGGCCCGGGCAGTGCTCGGTCACGGGTCCCCACACCCTAGTGAGACGCCCCAGAGCCAGAGCTCAGGGTAAGCAGCCAGGAAGGCCCAGCAGATTGGCCACGAAGTGACCATCCGTGTGAGCTGAGTGACGGGAGAGATTGGGTAGGCCCTGGAAGGGGAGCCCTCACCTTAGGACCCGAGGGATTAATGCCCAAGTGGGACCAGAGATAAGGAGTAGAGCCTGAGTGCAGGCCCTGTGGGCGCCTGCCCTGAACTGGCCCCGTGTGCTATCCCGTGTTTGGAAGAGTCGAGACATCAGATGAAGAAGTTCCCTTCCAGGCACCCTTGCTGCTGTCTTCAGGCAGCTTGTGCGACTCAGGGCAAGTGACTTCACCTCTCTGGGCCCCCAGTTTCCTCCTCTGTGAAATGGGGATGATAATACCGCCTACCTCAGAAGGTTGCTGTGAGGGTTAAATGAGACAGAACAGTACATAGAAGCTTCCAGAAACTTCCGACTCACAGCCTGCACTTGTATAAATGTTGGCTAGCATCACCGTCATCCTCGTCTGTAAGGTCCTGAGATCTCCTGGCCCACGTTGCGTCTCCATTCTCTTACAGCAGTGCAGTGGGGATGTTGTAGGGTCATTTTGTTGCCAGGTTGGCAAACTGGGTCACAAGCGTCACTTGGCCCCTCTGATCTATGTACCACGTGGGGCTCACGTAAGTTGTCCTTAAAAGGAGGTCCTGGCACGGGCAGCTCCTTGGGCTTCATTTCCTGCTTGGAGGCCTGGTGGGTTCCGAAGTGGCCAGTTCTCCTCAGCTCTCTTCTCCTCGCTCAGCATCAACCAAGGGAGGTCGTGGATACTTTTGGTGTTAAATGAAGTCAATGCCGGGGCACCTGGGTGGCTCGGTCGGTTAAGCGGCCGACTTCGGCTCAGGTCACGATCTCACGGTTCGTGGATTCGAGCCCCGCGTCGGGCCTGGGCTGGCAGCTCGAAGCCTGGGGCCTGCTTCGGATTCTGTGTCTCCCTCTCTCTCTCTCTCTCTCTCTCTGCCCCTCCTCCCCCCACGCTCAGTCTCTCTGTCTCTCAAAAAGAAAAAAAAGAAAAAAAAAAAAGTTATCCAGACTTTAAGACAGCTTGCCTGCCAACCATCTTCTTTAAGACAAGATTGTTTCTTGCTCACTGACCCGTTTCTGAAAGGAGGCCTGTGATTTCTGGGACCCGGTGCCGAGCCCGTGTTGCTAGAGGAAGCCCATGGGATGCCCCCCCCCGGCTGTGGATTTGGAAGTACTTGGCGGTTGCTGTGGCATAGCATCCTCTGCTCATTCCTGGGTGCCTCGCAGATCCCGAATCCGTTCTTTTATCCTCCTAAACCTTCCAGGCTACTCCTACCCGGGTTTTGCAGCTGGAAGGCCGTCGGGGCGGCAGGAAACACGTCGGGTTCTGTGTGTTCCACTGTGTACAGATGGGGGCGGGAAGCCAAGCTCTGAAACCGACCTCTCCTTCCCCGAGTCGGCCTGCCCCGCCACCCCGGCCACCCCCGAGAGCACCGTGCACGCCACCGGGGCAACTGGGCGCTAGCACCTTCTGTCTCCTCGGCTCTGCAGGGACTGGGGGACGGAACACTTGGCTGTCGGTCATCAGGCCACAGCGGGAATTCAGTGTCAAGTCCTACAGGCAGGAGCCGTTCTTTCTCTCTGCATTTCTACGGCCAGTGAGCCTCTCTCCCTGCAGCAACCACCCTTCATCTTCCGGCCTGTCTGGCCCCGGGGGTGTGATTGTAAGTAACGTGTGTATGTGTCAGCACCTACTCCTCAGTGCTTAAAAACCTCAGTGAATAAATAAATACACTCAAAAAAAAAAAAAAAAGACCAAGGAAAGAACGCTGATTTTTATGACAGTGACTGTATTCACCTCGTCTGCCCATTGGGAAAGCCTGAGGACATGGGGCCCAGGAGAGGTGCACTGTCAGCTGGGCAAGGATAGAGACCCGGGTGGCCAGGCTGGGGAGGAGACTCCTGGGTGGGTCCTGCAAGGAGGGTCTGGGCTGCGTGAAAACTCTGGAAGCCTGGCCCATGCATTGGGGAGCATACAGAAGGGAACGGAGGAGCCGAAAGGGGGGGTGGGGGGGGCAGCCGGGCAGACTGGGTCCTTCCATTAGTTGGTACGTTGCATTGTCACGGGGCTCTCAGATGACCCTTGTGAGGTCTCAGGCAAGCACCACAGCTAGGTGTGGTGCGGATTATTTTGACAGTTTTAGAGGTGAAGACCTATGAACAGTGTACCCCGTGTGTGACGGAGCGCTTTCTCATTTTTGAAATCCCTGTCCCCACACCCCCCCCCCCATCCACCATGATTTACCAAATGGCCACCTTGGCCCATGAAGGGGCAGTTCCCACTTTACCCTGGGGGCGGGAGTTGCCTGCTCTAGCCGAGAGGCTTGACTCAGAACTCAGTCCTGATTGCATCATGACCCCGTTGCCTGTGGGTGGAGAAGAAGGTGCTGGGACACTGCAGTCTGGTCTTACTGCTTCTGCGTTCCAAGCGCCAGAAGCTGTTAAAAACCAAGGACCCAAGACACTTAAGCCCTGGGGCTGAGCGCTGGGAATAGGTGGGCGCGTCCAGAATGTGTGCTCACAGGGACGGGCTGGTGAGTCAGCTGCCCAGGTTGGTCGAGGGGGCTCGGAGGGACCTTCTGGGGTGCCCTCCTCCCTCGGATCCCCGTGCAGCAAATGAGATGATTCCCGCCGACTGCCCGGGAGCCCGTCAATAACCATTCTAATCTCCCTGGCAGCCCCAGAAGTGAATTTACAGCGACGTGGTAAAAATGAGGCTGCATGATCAACGGATCCCTGGACGTCCTCCTCCAGGAGACACAAATGTATCTTGTAACAAAACTTTATTTTCTTCCGAAAATTGCCTGCCTGATTAATACGGCCCGACACAGCCCAAGCTGTTCCGCGTAAAAAACAGCCGTTTCTCTTGCTCTTTCTTCAGTGCTCTTCCCCCTCACTCCATTCCTTCAGCTCGTTGCCTTTGTTTTCTCCTCTAACACCTGTGCTATATATTGTCCGATGTCACCCGAGGAGGAGGAGAATGTATTGAAATGCCTTAGCGCCCTCTCCCATGCCGTTTGGTTTCCGCTTGGCATTTCCAATGCGGCTCAGCCTAAGCAGAGGACCAGATTCGTGAGTGCTCCCCTGGACGGGGCGCGGTGTTCCCACGACTGAGCCACGCACGGCATGTTCTCTGGGTATCAAGCTTGCATCACCGGGAGCTCCAGGGAGGCCAGAGCTCGACACCCCTGTGTCCAGCCTGGGTGAAAAGGACTCTTCTCTTTTATTCCGGTTTTCAGGGATGGGGGAGCTGCTGGGTCTTAGGAGGGAGGACCTCAAAGGCAGGCGGTCCCGTCTCCTGCCCGCCGCCCAGGAGATTCTAGGAACGCGTGCCAGAAGAGATGGGGTGTACCCGGCAGCACGCTCCTATGCAGGCCGAGGACCCGCTTCCTTGAATACGATTATTTACATGTGCCTTTCGTGTCTGATTCTAGAATGCAGGCTCCACCCGAGCGGGCTGCTTGGTTTGGGTTCCCCCAGAAGCAGACCCTAAGACTAAGGTTTGAGTGCACCATTGATTCGGAAGGTGGAGAGAGCAAACACCACCAGGGGCGTGGGGCAGTAGGACCTGGAAGGGAAGGCCTCCCCCTTAGGGTGTGGTATGCAGATGGCCACTGTGGGTGATGGAGGGGGAACCCTCCCTCGTTTCACTAGGGGGACCCTGGGAGCCCTTGTAAACCGCTGCCCTTGGAGTCAGCCTGCTCCTGGGGTGAGCGAGCTGGGGTGTTCATGCCTCAACTCCTGGCCGCCTCTGGATGGGAGCAGATGGGGGTGGGGCGGCAGCAAAGCAGGCTCCAGGCATGGAAACGCAGGTGCCCGAGTAGGGAGTGGGGCAGGTGGGCAGTAGAGTGGGACCAGGCGGTGTGAACGGGCACCCAGGCCGCCTGGGAGACGCGGGATACGTACCCGAGACTGCTGCTTCTGGTTCCTTTGGGGCGGCAGGTTGAGGAGAATTGGGGTTGGACCCCTTCACGATCTCCTCCTTAGGTTCCCGTCTTTGTTCTCAGCCAAGGGGGGCCCGGAGGGAACTGGTGACGCACACCTTGGGCGCACGTGGGCCGTGTCCGTCCGCAGCGCCCATGCCTTCCGCCTTCCTCCGACTCTACTCGGCTGGCTCTCTTCCCCCAGGTGCAAGGAGCTGAAGTA